GCTCAGGGCCCTAACAAACAGAGCCCCCAATGGTGTCTGTGGCTTTACTAGGGCACGGCCCTCCTAGGAAACAGCGGGGCTGGGTCAGCCGAGGGGACCACACGGGGGAACAGTTCTGGAGTTTGGGGAACTAGACTGGCGCCAGCAGATGTCTGTCTGACATTAGAGAGCCGCCCCACCAAGGGTGCTCCCTGCCGTTGGAGGTGTGCAGCCGGTAGGTAGGGAGCGGCTGGTCAGATGTGCCCTGGGGAAGATGCCAGCCCAGGGGTTGGAGGCCCCTTCCTGCCCCACTTCAAGGGCAGAGTCTGGGGCTGGCAGGCTGTGCCCACTGCAGATAAATGGATGAGGGGCCCTCCTTACTCACTCAGGATCAGCTAGGCAGGTCTGGAAGCACAGGCCGAGGCACACAGACAGAGGACTGGGAGCTGGGCCAGCCTAGCCTGGACGGGTCACTGCAGTGTCCTGGCACCGCACAATGGCTGGATGAGTGGCTGGATGGACAGTTAGAGGGATGAATGGATGATGGGTGATGGATGGGTGGACAGATGGATGGACAGATGAAGGGATGGAGGCTGCCTAAATATGGATGGATGGATGGATGGATGGATGGATGGATGGATGGATGGACAGATGGATGGATTCCTGCATGGATGGATGGATGGATGGATGGATGCCTGGATGGATGGATGGATGGATGGATGGGTGATTGATGGACAGAGGGATGGACAGAGGGAGGGAGGGATGGCTGCCTGGATGGATGGACAGATGGATGGATGGATGGATGGATGGACAGAGGGATGGATGGATGGACAGATGGGGGGAGGAAGGGAAGAAGGGATGAATGGGTGATTCAGAGGAGCCTTTGGCCTGGGAAGGACATGCCCCATTCAAGGGCTTGGGAAGATGTTGATTGCAACAAACTGAAATTTCCTCCAAACTTAAAAATCGACTTGTCAGGTCTTATTTTGCCAGATAAAGCCACGGGAAACAGCCACCACCAGCTACCCCACATGGTTGTGTAAACAAAGGATGTTCTCAAGGCAGAAACAAAGTAAAGCAGGCGGGGTGAGACCTCAGGAGAGACAGGCAGTCCCTGACGATGCAGGGAGACCTCCAGGAAACACACCGGGCCTTCCTCCTCCTCGGCTCAGGCTGGCTGGGCCTTGGGGTGCCCACGTGCTCCCCGTCTCTGCCAGCCTTCCCGGGGAATCGGCTCGCCTCTGCTGCACACCCATCCCAGTGACCTGGGAGCTGATGGTGCTATTCCAGAGGGGAGTAGAAATGCAGCCTGGGGGGAGGGGAACAGACCAGGGGGAGCGAGAGGAAAGAGGGTCAGAGGGGAGGAAAGGCAGAGGCCTCCGGACCTGGTACAGAACTATGTGAGGGAAAGGGTGACCGTGGTCAGCTTGACCGAAGTATAAACGTCAGCAAGTTGGCCTGGACCTCAGACTTCTCAGGGGGCAATCGCCCCACCTCAGGATCTGCAGACCCTGCCCTAGCCCTCCAGAGAGCGCTCTGATGCAGCCATTCTCACTGAGGCCTTAGTCCATCAGGACCTGCCTGGACCCCATAGGACAGAGGAAGGAGCAAGATGGGGAGAAAATGGTGGCACCTCGGGCGTCCTCAGCCAGGCTGGGGCAGAGAGCCAGCCCTGACCTTCTAGGCCCCGCCCCGTCCCAGGGCCCTGGCGGCTGAGACCAGAGGGGCCTGCTGGGCGGTCCCGGGAAGTGTGTGTGTGTGTGTGTGTGTGTGTGTGTGTGTGTGTCCACATTCCAGCTGTGCTCTGTCAGCATCTGAGCAAACCAGGATTGTGTGGCTTTGGGAGGCAGGAACAAGTAACCCCAAACTCGGTGCAGGCGGGCCTGGGCCTGGGCCTATGGAGGGGACTGGGAGAGCCGCAGGGGGCTCTGCTGGGTCACGCAGTTCACCGTCCCCGGGTTTCCCTGCTGCTCTCTGAGGTGCCTGGATCAGTGTGCCCTGGGGTGCGGTGCCCTGGACCAGGCGGCTCTTCCTCCCGCCCCCCCCAGGCCTGAGGACCCACAGCGGAGCTGGCCCCTGCACCACCTCCTCCCCTCCGCCCAGCACCCACTTATGCAGCAGGAGAGCTGCTGTCACACTGAGGCCCAATGTCTTTGCCTCCCCCCCCCCCCAATCTCCACGCCCCCTCTCATGTCATACACCCATTGCTTGGACCTTTTTACTCCAGCCCCTGGTTTCTCTTAAGATCTTTGCCAGCCCGGCTGGCGTGGCTCAGTGGTTGACGAAGGCCCACGAGCCAGGTCATGGTTTGATCCCCAGTCAGGGCACACACCCGGGTTGGGGGCTTGATCCCCAGTAGGGGGCGTGCAGGAGGCAGCCAATCGATGTTTCTCTCTCTCACTCTCACTCTTACTCTCTCAAATCAATAAAATATATGTTTAAAGTAAAGATCTTTATCGGTGTTTTGCCCGCCGCTCTGCAGCGGGGCTCCGAGCCCCAGGTCCGACTTCTCCTGCCTGCGGTCTGATTTCTGTCCTCTGGTGGCCTGGCAAGCTGTCCCTCCAACACTGATTTCTCCCAGCCCCTCTGACTTCCTTCTGCCTCGGCTGCATTTCTGGCTTCTGGGCTCCCTGCTCTCTGACCCCCGTCCGGGCAGGGACCGGTGCCACTGAGGGGCCCATGGCAGGGTGGCCGCTGCCGAGAGCGGGGGAGGGGCCTCATGTTGGTTCTGGGGTCCTGAGGCCGAACCCTGTTCTTGGGCCCTGCCCCCTGGCTGCCCCACGGACCCTCTGGCTGCTGGGCCTGCTGGCCCAGGCCCCGCGAGGTGGCTATCCCTGTCTCCTGCGCCCCTCAGAGATCAGGCTCCAGGCCAGATGGGGGAGGGCAGCGTGGGGAGACCCGGACAACCCCCCACTCACAGGACACTGACCTGGCACTTTGGGTGTGGAGGGCCCAGGCTGGCAGCAGGACAAGCCCTGGCCACTCCCATCGCCTTCGCCAGCCACATGGCCACAGGCTGGACCTCCCTGCTTGAGGGGAGCGGGCGTGTTTATGCAACTGCGGGGAGGCCGCAGCCCGGCTGGCAGTGCCGCAGCTCAGCACAGCGCTGACTCGGCAGAGTCCCCGGCACGTCCCCACTCAGACAGGCGACCAGACACATGCACGCACACACAGAGATAACACACGTGTGCACGCACAGACAGATGGCACGCGCATACACACGTGGGCAGGCACACGCACGGGCTTCCTGTGGACGCAGGTGCGCACACGGAAATGCACCGCCACGCAGTGGAGGGCAGACAGCCGTCTCCCAGCTCCACTGCTCACACGCCGCCCGCTCCGGCACCTGTTCGGCTCCCTCCCTCCCAGCTGCCCTCCCCACTTGGGGTGCCCTCCCTGGGGACGTCTGCATTCAGGCTGCGCCTCAGCTCGGCTTCTGGGAAGCCCACCCAGGACACCGACTCTCCTCAGTCATTTCGTTTTCTTAACAAGACGCCGGCCCCGCTCCCCAGCCCCCGGCAGCCACACCCTGTTTCCGTCTCTATGAATTAGAGAAGTGGGATCATCCAGGAACTGGCCCTTCCGGGCCTGGCTTGTTTCACTTAGCGGGGTACCCTCCAGTTCATCCATGACAGCACGTGTCGGACTCCCTGCCCTCTGCAGGGCTGACGGCCATGGTACGAACAGACCGCCTGTGGTGACCCCGCACTGCCGAGGGCACCGGAGTGACGCCGGGGGACAGTGTGACATCTCCGGCTGCTGCCCGTCCTCGGTGAGAGCCGAGCAGTGGGACTGCGGGGTCACATGGCGATTCCTCTTCCGTTTGGGGGAACTCCACTGTTCCCACAGCAGCTGCACCCCTCAGCGATGCCCAGGGCTCCGGGTTTCCTAATGGTGGCAGCAGGGGGATTTTTTTGTGTGGGGTTTTTTGTTTTTTTGTGTTTTGTTCTGGGGGGCATGGCACACGGGCTAGCCATCCCAGGGGTGAGAAGTGTCATCTCATCGTAGTTTAATTTGCATTTTCCTAGTGATTAGAGGCGTCATCACGTGACGGGCTGTTTGTGCATCTTCTTCGGAGAAAGCCTGCTTCCATCCTCCACCCGTTCTCAATCGGGTGCTGGTTTTGTTGAGTTACAGGAATTCTCCATGGCTTCTGGTGGCATCTCCTCTTACGTTTTTGCCCAACTATGAGCTTCTCAGATAATCACTGACCTCATGGTCTAACATGTCAACACCTCCCAACTCTCTCCCTCTCTCCCGCCCCAGCCCTCTCTCGCGCTCTCTCTCATACACACACACTCACACACTCACTCTCACACACACACACACATACTCACACTCACACACATACTCACACACACACACACACACTCACACACACTCACTCTCACACACACACACACACATACTCACACACACTCACTCTCACACACACACACACATACTCACACTCACACACATACTCACACTCACACACACACACTCACACACATACTCACACACACACCGTCACTGCACACTTGGGGCCTGCACGCTCGTCTTCCCCTGAGAAGCCCAGGGCTGAGAGCTCACAGTAGACCCTCTCCTCTGGCCGGAGCCACACCTCAGGCAGTGCCTCGGTTTCCCCACCCAAGTCAGGAAGGGGCCTCAGGCCTCTTCAGTCCTGGCAGCCAGGCACGGTCAGCTCTGCCCTGCGCTCCCCACTGGCAGGCGAGGCCGCTCTCGGCCTGTGTCATGGTGGCCGGGGCCCTCAGGCCCAGTTACGGACCGGAAGCTCAGACAGTGCTCTGGCGGGCACAGAGCCAGGGGCACCCAGGGGCACCCAGGACTCTTCCGGGTCCGCCCTGCTCCTCCCCCAGAGCCAGGGGCAGGCTCACAGCACAGGAGATGGTTCGGTGGGGGTTTGGGTCTGTGAGCAGGACTCCCTTTCTGTGTCCAGGGCTCGCTGCCCACAGCATTCAGAGCAGCCAACCAGAGGGAGGACCAACGAGAGGGAGAGAGGGAGGAAGGCCAGAGGCAGGGAAGGAGGACGAAGGCATTTATTCAGGCCCTAGGGCGTGGGGACAGACAGGTGCGTGCGGCTGGGCAGACGGAGGGGTCCGGGGTGCTGCAGAGCTGGTGCGGCCTCCATGGGCCCTCCTTCCGGCAGCTCCTGCCGATGCCAGCATCACGTGCCGTCCCAGCAGGGCCCCGGGCTCCCTGAGGGCAAAGGGCAAAGGGCACAGCGTCGGTGACGGAGCCGAGCCAGGCAGCAGGGTGTGGGCTGGGAGTGGAGTTGGTGCCATGGGAGGCGGACACAGGCTGTGGCCAGCAGGGCAGTAGGACTGAGCTCCCCTGGGCAGGCTCACCTGGCAGGCTCAGCTGGGCAGGCTCAGCTGGCCATGATGTGCTTCACGAACGCTGGAGGAAGGAGGAAGGAGGAGGAGGAGGCTCGGCCCGGGCAGCCCGGCCCCGGCCCCCGAGCCCCCCTGCGCCCACCTTCGTAGTTGATGCAGCCGTTGGAGTCCTCCTGCCCGGCCATCAGCTTCTCCACCTCGTCCTCGGTCAGCCGCTCGCCTGGGGGCGGCAGGGTCAGCGTGTGGGCGGGGAGGGAGGACGTGAGCCTGCTGCGGCTCTGCCTCCCCTGTGCCCGGTGGCACTGCCCTTGCCCCAGGCCTTGGCGCAACCCCGGCCTCCGAGTCCAGAGAATCGGCGACCAGGCAGGAAGGGCAGGGCCTGGGTGCCCGGTTCCCGCCTGGCTCTGCCCCTAAAGTCGCCGAGCACCCCCCGTGTCCCCACGAGGCTGGGGGTACAGCCTGGTCCGGGGAGCAGGGTGACTGCCCCGTGCTTTCGTGTGTGCCATGCTGCTGCCACCCTGGAATGCCAACTCAGCTTCTCCCACGCCCAGCCACACAGATACACACATACACACACGCACGTGTGCATTCACACTGGCACACATGTACACACATATGCACACACATACTTACAAACACACATGCGCAGATACACACGTACACGAATAGATACACATACACGTGTGCACACACATACATGCATGTGTGCACACACACTCATATACATAGATATGCACACGTACACGAGTAGATACCCATACTCACACACGTATACATATACACACTCTCACACTCACACCGACGCACAGACTAGCACACACGTACACACACCCCAGAGTCCGGCTCAGGTCTGGGCGCACAGTGGGTGCTCAAGAAGCATGTGCTGCAGGAAAGTCTGTGCCAGGGGAGGCACCTGGCAGGGGTCGGGAGGCCCTGAGCAGGCCCGGGATCTGCGCGGCCACCAGGGGACGTGGCTCTGGGTCTTACTCGAGCGGAGCTCCTGGGGCCATGTCGCCCTGTCCGGCCCAGAGCTGCTCCCACCCCCTGAGGGCCCCCCGTTGCTGTTGCCGCCCTGGGGCGCCTCACCCAGCGTGGCCAGCACGTGCCGCAGCTCGGCGCCCATGACGGTGCCGTTGCCCTCCTTGTCGAAGACACGCAGCCCCTCCACGAAGTCCTCGTAGGTGCCCGTGTCCTTGTTGGTAGCGATGTGCTGCAGCATGGGCAGGAACGTGTCGAAGTCCATCATCTTGGTGCTCAGGTCTGCGGAGAGAGGCCGTGCCAGCAGGCCCCGCCCCCGCCCCCCAGGCGCCTCAGGCACCCCGACAGGCATCTTCCCGCAGCCCGTTCCCCAGGAGGCTCGCCCGCCCGCCCGCCCGGCACCTGCCTCCTTCGGGGAAGCAGTCCTTCCTGTGCCACCTCCTCCTCCACCCCCACCCCCCGCCCTGCCCTGCGACGGGCCAGGCGAGCTGAGCCCGCGGTGGCCGCCCTGGGACCGGACCCAGCCTCCTGGGGCCAAGCAGGCCGCCCTCCTGGTCTCGGTGGCCAGGGAAACCGGCCTAACCCACCCCTCACCACCCTCACCACCCTCACCACCCTCACCGAGATGCCAGGGCCTGGGTGGGGGGGGGGCAGAGGGAGATGATGGGGTCTGGTGGGGGCAGAGGGAGAAGCGGGGTTCGGGGGGGCAGAGGGAGAAGCGGGGTCCAAGGGGGCAGAGGGAGAAGCGGGGTTCGGGGGGGGCAGAGGGAACCTGGTCTGCACGTGGTCAGCCCTGGAGGTCGGGTGGGGGGGCCTCCCCCAGGGGCTGGGCAGCGGCCAGCGCTCCTCACGACCTGTCAGCTCCCCGGAGCCGCCTGTCCCCGGCTGGACGGCAGAGCACAGGGCACAGCAGGTTCCCGTGGCCCCACGTGGCAGCCCTCGGCGCTCTCGAGGGACCAACCTTCCTGCTTGGGCTTCCCCAGCACACGGAGCACCTCGGCCTGCGTGGGGTTCTGGCCCAGCGCCCGCAGCACGTCCCCGCACTGGCCGTACGTGATCTTCATCTCGCACTTCGGCGTGCGGTCGAACAGCATGAAGGCCTCCTTGAACTCTGTGAGAATGTGGACTGTGACCCCTGGCCAGAGCCCCCTCACCCCCCAGCCAGAGCCCCCTCACCCCCCAGCCAGAGCCCCCTCACCCCCCCAGCCAGAGCCCCCTCACCCCCCAGCCAGACCCCCCTCACCCCCAGGACTCTCCGACGGGCCCAGCCCCACCCTGCAGCCCAGGGTCACACTCCACTCACCTTCAATCTGCTCTGGGGTGAACTCGATCTGGAAGGAGACCCCAAAATGAAGGCAGACCCCAAAGATGCCTCAGAGAGCGGGGCCAGACGCAGGCCTCAGCCCTCAGCCGTCCACCCTGTCCCCATTCCCACCCCAGCCTCCAGGAGGCAGGACGCGCCACAAGAGTGTGACGGGCTCATCTCCACAGGGTGTGTGTGTGTGTGTGTGTTTTCGTGTGCATTCACGTGTGTGCATTCACGTGTGTGTGTTCACGTGTGTGTGTGTGTCTGTCCCTCAGAGCCCTCAGGCTGGGCACTGCCGCTCGCGTGGCCCTGCCTACACTGGGCCCTGCACCCCCCTCGAGGGCAGGGCAGCCCCCCCCCCCACACACACACACACATGCAGCCCAGCCAGGGGAGCTGCTGAGGCAGCATTGGGGCGCCTGAGGCCAGAGGCCTCCTGGAACCCGCTCTCCTCCTGGTCTCCCCCTCCTCACCGATACCAGGGCTATTTTTATCCCTCAGTCACTGCCCCAAAGTCAAGGTCACAGGAGGGAAAGGAGCTTGGGGGAGGGGATCAAGAGGGGCACCTCCCCCCCTGCTGCTCCCTCGGGGCCCCACCAACCCCCACAGAGCAGGCAGTGAGGGGAGTGCCCTGCCCCCAGGCCCTGCAGCTCTCCCCAGGACCCTGCTGAGGAGGCCACCTCCACCACCCCACCTCCACACCTCCACACCTCCCCACCACCCCTTAACACCCCCCAACACCCCCCAACACCCCTCAACACCCCTCACCACCCCCCAACACCCCTCACCAGCCCCTCACCAGCCCCTCACCACCCCCCAACACCCCTCACCAGTCCCCAACACCCCTCACCAGCCCCCAACACCCCTCAACACCCCTCACCACCCCCCAACACCCCTCACCAGCCCCCAACACCCCTCACCACCCCCCAACACCCCCCAACACCCCTCACCAGCCCCTCACCAGCCCCTCACCACCTCCCACCACCCCCCACCACCCCCCACCACCCCCCAACACCCCTCACCACCCCCCAACACCCCTCACCACCCCCCAACACCCCTCACCAGCCCCTCACCAGCCCCTCACCAGCCCCCAACACCCCTCACCACCCCCCAACACCCCTCACCAGCCCCTCACCAGCCCCTCACCAGCCCGAGGTGGGTCAAGGGCACACAGGGCCTCCCTGTTCCCTCCTGGAGAGGGGCGTGTGCCAACCCCGGATCCGAGGCACCTGGGTCCAGGTGACCCTACCAGGGGTTTGGACACACCAGCACCGAGGGGACCGGGGGTCAGGAGCCAACAGGGCGCAGGCTGTGGAAGCGCCCAGCACTGCGAGGAGGCTGCCGCCCTCCGCTGAGCAACAGGCCCAGAGCAGGGGCTCCGCACCGCGGCCTCCGCCGAGGGCGTGTGCCGGGGGCCGAGGGCTGGGGGCCAAGGGGGCCGGGGGGCCGGGGGCCGAGGGCCGAGGGCCGGGGGGGCCGGGGGCCTGGGGGGCCGAGGGCCGAGGGCCTGGGGGGCGGGGGGCCGAGGGCCTGGGGGCCGGGGGACCGGGGGGCCGGGGGCCGAGGGGCCGAGGGCCTGGGGGTCCGGGGGCCGAGGGGCCGAGGGCCTGGGGGGCCAGGGCACCGGCCTCTGCCTCAGCCGGCAGCCGGGCAAGGGCTGGGAGGCATCCAGGAGGCAGAGCGCAGGGAGGGGCAGGTGCAGGGTGCGTGCCGCTGTGCGGAGGCCACAGGTGAGAGTCGCGGCTGCTCCTCCAAGTTTAGCCTCTGAGAGCCTCCAGCCCCGAGGGCTCCTGGGACCACTGGTCACACCGTGAGCTGAGCTTCCCGCCTCCCAGTCCCCGCCTCGGAGCTGAGGCCCTCGCAGCTCTGGGCTCAGCCACTGGAGGTGAGTGTGGCCCAGCCTGGGGGCCTGGCTTCCTCTGCCCCCCCCCCCCAGGGCTGCCTGCTGCAGGGGGCGGGGGGGGGGGGGCTCCAGGGACCAAGGATGTGAGCGAGGCCCAGGGGAGACAGGTTCTAAACCACCAACAAGGGCACTGGGCCCTCCCGCTGGCTTCCCCCTCCTGCCCGCCACGCCTGCCTGAGCCCGAAGCCCAGGGCTGTCTGCGGAAGCTTCCAGCATCAGCTCCTGCCCACTTTCTGAGTCGCCTATCCTGGTCCGTCTGCTCTGGATCCAGTTCCCTCCCTGTCCTCCCTGCCAGAGCCCGGCCCCACACCCACCTTGACCTTGGAGGCATCAAACTCGTTCTCCTTGGGGGGCTCGGGCTGCGGGGCCGCGGGAGCCGGGGCGGCGGCCGGAGCCGCGGCCTTGGGGGCCGCCTTGGCCTCTTCCTTCTTGGGCTCTGGCTTTTTGGGGGCCATGGGGCCGTGAGCACGGACGGAGGACGGACGGACGAGGAGAGGAGGGAGCAGAGAGCCAGGTCGAGGTCGGGTGGGGCACCGCCTGCCCTTGGCCTTTATCTGGCCTGGGCACCTCCCCCAGCCCCCGTGCACAATGGGGACAGGGCCATAAAAGGACACTGGCCGCAGGGGCTATTTTGGGGCCTGGGAAGGCATTGTTCAGGCTCAGGAGCGAGGGAGGGAGAGGGAGGGCTGTCACCTGTTGGGGGGGAGGGGAGGGCAGAGGCTGTGCTCAGCACCCTGAGAGCACGCCAGGCCAGCCAGGCCCGCGTTCAGCAGAGGCTGGCTGAGTGTGTGCCGGGGGCTGTGCACTGGGTGCTGGGTGCTGGGTGCAGGAGGACTCAATCACCTGAGGCCCCTCTCCAGCTCAACTTCCCACCTGTGCACTGAATCCCCAGGTGTCCGCCTGCACCCGCACAGAGGGGGGCTGTCTGGGGCCTGGGTGTGTTGGGGGGGCTCTGTGTGCCCATGGGGGTCTGTGCGTGTTTCCTGGGTGTCTGGAGAGGTGTGTTCTGTGTGCACCCTGCCGTCTCTGTGTGTGCTTGTCTGTGTGCCTGTGTGTCCGTGTGTCTGTGTGCTTGTCTGTGTCCGCGTGTCCGCGTGTCCGCGTGTACTTGTCTGTGTATCTCTGTGTCCGCGTGTCCGTGTGTCCGCGTGTGAGGGTCTCGGCTCTCAGGCAGCTGCAGCCGCAGCCGTGAGCCTTAGGGCTCGGGAACAGCACCCAGGAGGCCGAAGTCTGGGCGCCTGTCTGGAGGGCGAGCCTGGCGCACCCAGCCTCCAGCTCAGCACACCAGCCCGGAGGCCATTTCTCCCTCCGTCTCACCCTCACTCTCGTTGCCTCTCCCACAGCCCCCGCCACAGATCCCCCACGTGCCACATGCCTGCTCCCCACCGACCCCGGGCCGGGTGCCCCTCTGCCTGGTGTGCCGGGCGCCGCTCCAGGCCCCCCGTTTCCCTCCGCCAGCCTTTGGGGGGACCTGGACGGCCGCCTCTCTGAGGGACCCGGTGGGGGTGAGGTTTGCCCAGCCAGAGCCCCCTCACCCCCAGCCAGAGCTCACCCCTAGGTCCCGCCTCACCCCCACCCTGGAGGGCCCAGCCCTGGGAGCCGGCAGACAGAGACCAGGGCTGGCCACGCGGGAGGGGGGGGCCAAGGCGGCCGGGGCCTCCCGCACACAGCGGGGAGCAGGGACAGCTTGCAAACACATTGGGCCCATCCCTGCCCGTGTCAGGAGGGGGGTGCCGGGGGAGGGGGACAGGCGGGGGAGGCGGGGGGGCAGGCGGGGGAGGAGGGCGGCCCGTTATTTTTAGTGCCTGGAGCCTTTGACAGAAACTTCAGAGGCAGCGTCCCCCTTCCCCCCCAGACCCCGGGGACCGCGCTGGGTGTGGGCTGGGGCTGGAGCCGAAGGAGGACCTGCCAGGGCCCCCCACATGCTGGCCCGTCTCTCCCTGCCACTCAGCCTCCGGAGGGGACAGCAGTCCGGGGCCCCCCGAACGGGACCCGGGACATTCCTCCGGCATCTGGAGGCAGAGTGTCCTCCTGGAGCCCTGACAGCTTCCGGTGCCGGGAGCGAGCGCTCCCTTTCTCCAGATGTTCTGTTCGGCTGAGGACCAGGACGGCGCGGGGAGAGCCACAGAGACGAGCCGGGGCCCCAGGAGGGGCTGCGGCCGGAGGGACACACAGGGCCCGGGAAATGGAGGCCGGGCCGCGGCTTACACAGGGTTCCCCATCTCTTCTGTCTTGTTTTTTGTTGTTAGTCCGCACCCCACTGGTTTTAGAGAGAGAGGGAGAGAGAGAGAAACATCGATGTGAAAGAAACACATCGACTGGTTGCCTCCTGCACGTGCCCGACCTGGACCTGGGCCAGGGAGGAGCCTGCAACCCAGGTACATACTCTGTGCCCTGGACCGGAATCGAACCCCGGACCCTTCCATCTGCAGGCCGACGCTCTATCCACTGAGCCACACGGCCAGGGCCACACCACCGCCCTCCCTTGGACACCATGGGCGTCAGGGAAGCACCGGCGGGAGACAGGGCCTCCGGCCACGGTTCTGCACAGGAGTGGGCGGCTCAGGCCCAGCGGAGCCGCACAGCACCCTTGCTCCGTCTGTGGGTTCCCGCACGGAGAGGGGTGTCTTGGTCCCTCTGCTTGGTGCACAGGGCGGTGAGGTCCTGCGGACGGGACACCATGCACAGAGCTCTCCCCACTCCACCCCAGCCCCGGCCCCAGGCGGAAGCTGGCTGGGCCTTGGACTGAGCTTCCTGCTCACCCAGGGGACCCGTTCAACCACCGCTGACACCACCCCTGGCCGGACGCCACCCCCGGGCTGCCTGCAGGATCGGCTGCTGAGGCCAAGAGCCAGCAGGGCGGCCAGGTGGGCAGGCAAGTGGGCAGGGAAGGGGCAGCAAGGACAGCCCACACCAGGCCTGGCTCTCACCTCCCTCCCAGGTCCCCGCCGGATAGAGCTCCAGGTGCTGCAGGAACGCCAGCCCAGCAGGCAAGAGCCGGGCAGGGCCCGGGTCCTGGGAGCCCAGGGCTTGGGAGGGAGGGGCCTGGACCCGACCCCTTCGGCTCCTCCAGCTCGTGTCCTGGTGGTGGTCCTGTCCGGGCCACCTTCCAGAGCCCTCTCCGCAGCCCCCTCCCCCACCGCACGCACAGCCAACGGGATGCTGGGAAGACGGGGCCTGATTTCTGAGGACCCTGCCGTCAGAGGCAGGAGAGCCTGGCCACACTGCCTCCTCCTGGTTCTCCCTGCTCCCTGCCCCTCACCTCCCCGGGACCCGGCTTCGGCCCCGGCCCCGCGGCTTCTGTCCCCCCCGGACCTGCCCCTCGGCCCTGCCTCCCAGCCCTGCACCCCTAACAGGAGCTTGTTTCCTTGTGACTGTGTTTCTGTATTTTTATTGGTTTCAGAGAGGAAGAGAGGGAGAGAGAGAGAGAGATATCCATGATGAGAGAGAATCATGGATCAGCTGCCTCCTGCACACCCCGTCCTGGGGATGGAGCCTGCACCCCAGGCCTGTGCTCTAACTGGGAATGGAACCATGGCTTCCCGGTTCTTAGGTTGAAGCTCAGCCGCCGAGCCAGGCCCGCCGGCTCCTGTTTCTTACGTGTGTCCGCCCGTGAGTGTCAGCTGCGCAGGAGCTGTGTATCTGGAACAGAACAGGATACACAGTAGGCACTCAACACGTGTTGCATGAGCAAATGTCCCAAACATCTCCATGTACCCACCTCCCCACAGGGGACAAGGACCCTTGCCAAACCCCATCCATCCCACAAGGGATCTGGGAGAGCAGGGGGCGCCTGGGGCAGCATCGCAGTCCTAATTCTAGCCCTATCCCTAACCCTAACCCTAACAGTAACGCTATCCCTAACCCTAACCCTAACCCTAACCCTAACCCTAACCCTAAGCCTAGCCCTAACCCTAACCCTAGCCCTAACCCTAACCCTAACCCTAACCCTAACCCTATCCCTAACCCTAACCCTAACCCTAACCCTAACCCTAACCCTAACCCTAACCCTAACCCTAACCCTAATCCACCTGCTACTCCCTCAGCTCGGCCTTGGCCTGCTCTCTGAGCCACTCCCATCGCCCAGAAAGCCCTCTCAGCTGCCCCGGGGGCTGGGGCTGACCTGTGGGTTGGGCAGGAAGACAGCATGACTAGCAGCCAGCAGGGGGCGCTGAAGGGATAGGAACTGGCCTTTGGATCCTGAGCCCAAACCTCTCCCCAGAACCCAGAATGCAGACCTGGAACCTGGAACCCCAAGCCCAGACCCCAGACTCCAGTCTCAGGAACTGAACCCCAAACTTAGAGCCTAGAACCCAGAGCTCAGGACCAGAACCCACGCAAGGGACCCAGACTCCCAATCCCGGATGCCAGACCCCGACCTCAAGCCCAGACTCGAAACCCAGACTCCAGACCCACACACATGCCCAGACCCCAGGCCGGGGCCCAGGACGGGGCTGCTGGGTCCCAGGCTGGCACTGCCCGCTGCTCTGCAGACGAGGGCAGGCGGGAGGGTGGGCGGAGGGGTGAGGTCCTGGCACACAGCGGGCGGGAGCTTGGCAGACCCGGCAGCGTTCAGAGGGGCTGAGGAATGTCCCTCATCCCGTCAGAGCCTCTTCCAACTCGAGGAGCTGGGAATATGGTGGCCGCGAGGAGGGGGGCGGGCCGGGAGGGGGGCCGGAGGGCCGGGGGGGGGGGGGGGGCCGGGAGGGCCGGGAGGGGGCTGGGAGGGCGGGGGGGGGCCGGGAGCCGGAGGCAGGGAAGGAGGGTCTGGCTCCTCACATGCCCTGGTCCCCACCGCAGGCGCTGCCACCGCCCGGCCCTCCCTGCCCGCCCTCCTGGCCAGGGCCCCGGCTGGGACGCAGGCCCACGCTTCCCGGACGAGTCGGCGCGGCCGGCCCGGCCCAGAGCCTCGAAGTAGGTCAGATGCTGTGGGCAGCAGGTCCCGGGGACCCGAGCCCGACGGGCACAAGCAGGCCAGGCCGCACCTCACCCCGCAGGGCGCCCCGCGCCAGGTGCCGGGAACGCAGGCCCCACACACGGGCCCTGTCCCTGCCCCGCTGCCCGGACCCTGGCTGGAGGCGGCATGAGGCAGCCACGAGGCGAGGGCCCAGCGAGAGGAGCGCGGGCCCGCCCCGGCCCCAGAGCCTCGGGTGCGAGTGGGACTCTGAGGAGGACTTCCCAGCAGGGCTGCTCGCCACCGACAGGATGTGGCCTGCTTCCCGGAGGCACAGCCCAGCCCTGGGAGGCGGGAGGGGTGGCCAGGGGGAGCGGGAGGCTCCTGAGGGTCTGACCTCGGCGGGTCCTGCCTCCTCTGGGCCTCAGTTTCCCCGTCTGTGCAATGGCCCGGGGGGGGGGGGGGAAGGCTGTGTTCCGAGGACAGACGCTACCCTGAGTCCCAGCCTGTCCTGCCACCCCCATGCCACACACAGACGACTCTGTCCTCTGCGAGCCAGGCCCAGCCTCAGGCCCCACCCGCTGCCCACTGTGCTGACG